TCCAGGGAGAGGGGAAGGCCACCTGGAGGGTGAGGGAAGGAGGCAGTTCTGGAAGGAGACATCCTGTGGTTGAGGTCTTTGCTGCCCATCCGAAGGGCCCAGAGAGTAATCATCAGCAAGAGGGCTCAGTGGGATCTAAGAGCTATGTGACAGCAAGAGGAGACAGACAATAAAGAAATGCACGAGGTGCTAACTGGCAGGACAGAGGGGACACGTGCAGCACGGAGAAGATGTGTGATTGGGGCAGATAAGGCTGGCCCCCGAGGAGGCAGTCAACGACTGCAGGCACTGCAGGCAGTTTGTCATGACTCAGTGTCACTTATCTGAGGCCCAGGCTGCAGTGAGGTGGTGGGAAGGATGGACGGAGCACCGGCTGGGCATCAGAACTGGGTTTGAGTCCCAGCTCCAAATTCGACCACAACCTGACCCTGGGCACGATGGCCAGCCGGCTGTGTCTCAGGCTGTGCTTCTGCAGAGAAGAGTCTTGGTCTGGATCTGAATGGAGTTTGCCCGGGGAAGTTGCTAAGTCTGGGGTGAGTAGTCCCAGGCCGAGAAGGCTTTATGGGGAGGGTGGGTGGGTGGACAGGCATTTGATCGGATGGAGGTGAGTGCAGAAGGCAGGGCAGGCACGGGAAATGTGAGCAGGGGCTCAAACGAATGGGCATGCTGGAAAACGGGAAGTGGCTTTGCTACAACTGAGGGTGAAGGAAGAGAGAGGGGGGTGTACGGGAGTGGAGTCAAGTTGCAGAAGGCCTCAGACACAGGCAGGGATGCTTAAAGTGGATCCATCTGGAAGGAGGGCTCATCCTGGGGCTGGATTACCATGTGACTAGGCTGGTTTTTAGCAGGAAAAATGGGGCCTGGACTTCAGAATGACTTGGATGGCGGGAAGCCAGGAATCAGGGAGGCAGCCAGAAGACTCCTGTAATATTCCTGGCATAGGATGGTGAGGAGGTGGTAAGGGGGTGGGGAGGGAGAGTTGGAAGGAGGCAGTGGTTTAGGCCTAGAAATATTGGGAAATACTGATAGGCCTTGAGGCCTGGCTGCATTCGCGTGGTGGGAAGGAGAGAGTCATCTTGAGTAGTTTCTCACTCAAAGATCAGGGAAAAGCCTGACTGGTGTGGCTCAGTGGTTGAGCATCGACCTATGAACCAGGAGGTTATAGTTCGATTCTTGATCAGGGTACATGCCCAGGTTGCAGGCTCAATCCCCAGTATGCAAGAGACAGCCAATCAATGATTCTCTCTCATCATTAATGTTTCTATCTCTCCCTCTCCTTTTCTCTCTGAAACCAATAATCAGCCGAAGCCGGTTTGGCTCAGTGGTAGAGGGTTGGTCTGCAGACTGAAAGGTCCCAGGTTCGATTCCGGTCAAGGGCATGTACATTGGTTGCGGGCACATCCCCGGTAGGAGGTGTGCAAGAGGCAGCTGGCCAATGTTTCTCTCTCATCGATGTTTCTAGCTCTCTATGTCTCTCCCTTCCTCTCTGTTAAAAATCAATAAAATATATTTGAATAAAAAGAAAAATTTATTGAAATCAATAATCAATAAATAATAATACTAAAAAGACCAGGGGAGAGAAAGCATTGGCAGCCCCCCTGTCTGCAAACATTTCGTGTCAGGGTAGCTTGGCCACTAAGAGGGTCAGCTTCAGTGTAGCTCCGCTCAGAGATCCCAGTTGTAATGGGGCACGGTGGTGGTGGTGGTGGTGGTGGTGCGAGCAGGGGGCTGGGCTAAGGATATGCATGCTCTGGATCACAGGGCTCATTCCATGTTGAGTGCCAGGCTCTTTGTGAGGTTTAGGAGCAGCGTGTTTACATAAGAACGTCCAAACCCATAGAAAATTTTTATAAGAGTTTATTTGAGCCGAACTGATGACATATGCCAGGAGCAAGGTCTAAAATGCCCCTGGAGAAAGTGGTTCTGAGCTTTCTTTATGCATTTAAAATTAAGGAGGGGGCTGGAAAAAGCAAGGAAGGGGTTAAGATTATGTACCCTCGCCCTAGCCGATTTGTCTCAGTGTAGAGTATTGGCCTGTGGATTCAAAGGTCCTGGGTTTGATTCCGGTCAAGGGCACATGCCTAGGTTTTGAGCTCAGTGCCCAGTAGGGGGTGTGTAGGAGGCAGCCAATCAATGATTCTCTCTCATCATTGATGTTTCTCTCTCTCCCTCTCCATTCCTCTCTGATACAATAAAAAATATATTTTTAAAAAATCTTAAAAAAATTATATGCTCTCTTGAGGGTTAATACTTCTTTGGAGGGATATTCCTTCTGGTATTTTAAAGGTGTGTTAGCCACATACACAAGAATAATGGATAGGGCTGGCTTAAAACATTTACTAAAGAAGGAATTTATGATGTGACCACCCTGGGGGTTACTTCCCATGGAACCCCCTTTCTGTCCACAAGAGCAATTAACAAAGCACAGTTCTCAGTCCTCATGGAGCAGCCAGCCTGAGTCTGGCAGAATCCTATTTGCTGCGCTCAGTGTTCTCACTCACCAATTTGGCTCTCTAGCCATGGAGGTAGTGTTTTTTTTTTGTTTTTTTTTAAAGATGATTTTTATTTATTTATTTTTTATCTTGTTAATCCTCATGGGAGGATATTTTTTCCTCCCATGGTTTTTAGAGAGCAAAAGGTTCTCCACAGAGCCTGTACTCTGCTTGCCATAGCAAATAAATATGCAATGTCTACTTTGCACATAAAATGTCTAACTGCTTGGCTGTTGGAGATTTGTACTTCAGAATATAATTATACACCCGTTTTTATATTTGTGAATTCATCTGTGGGAGGAGTAAAGAAAATGCAAGAGTACTTAATGATGAGTGTGGCTTTCCTTTCATTCTATAAAGATTTTAAAATATATTTTTATAGAGAGAGAGCAGAAAGGAGAGAGAGGGAGAGAGAGAGAGAGAGGTGAAAGAGACATATTAATTAGTTGCCTCCACCTGGGGATCAAACCTGCAATCTAGGTACATGCTCTAGATCAGAATCCAAAGAGCCTTCAATGTGCAGGCCGATGCGCTAACCACTTGGACACAGTGGCCAGGGTGGTAGAGTGTTTGGTGGATGCCAGAAAACCTGTTTCCTGATTTATAATGATACTGTCAAGGAGGCAAGTCTACGTTTCGTAGAACTTAAAGCTTAAATAATTTCAGGGAGCCTCTTTGGAAAATAATTCAAAATTACAAATGTAAAGTTCCCAGGTGCTCTCAGGGACTAAACTGGGGGAATTCAAGTGAGAAGCCTGAGGTTTAACCCTCAGCAGCTCTCCAGTCAATCTTATGGCAATACCTACTATTTCTTAAGCATATTGAAGAGGGTGTTTAAGTTGTGGTATTTCAGGACGACCAAGGGGAGGTGGGCATTAGTATCTCCAGTTTATGGATGAGGATGCAGGCTCAGAGAGGCGACTCAGGAAGTCACAGTCACCTAATTCAGGGCGTGGCAGTGCTCTGGGCTGAGGGATCTGGCCTCAAGGGCCTCACCTGAGGCCCTCTTCAACGGTGACGGCAGGGATCAGGCCCCTAAGCTTCCTGAGGAGGGCTGTCCTGGGTCTAAGCCATCTCCGGATTTCCACTTTACCTTTCCAAGGCTGGGGTAGAGGTAGGGGATGCCATCTAGCCACCTCTAGCCATCTTGGGGCACCACATGGTGCAGCCGTGGTCCCAGGGTTGTGGCCTAATATGTAGGCGGAGAGCTACCTACGTACAACCGGGAGGGCTGCAAATCCCAGCGGTGAGCACCGGTCTGAAAACAGGTCTGATCCTGGATCTGCAACTTCCCGCTTGTTTAAAGTCCCACACGATTCATGGCCTCCCTGGGCCTCACATTTCTAATCTGTTGAATCAGGGCAATATTGGAGCTCATTACAGGTCATCTTCTTACGCAGCAAAGATCCTCCTGGTGTCAGCACACGGAAAGAATAAATCTAAGCATCGGAAGATGGCTATCAGTCCTAGCAGCGGCATAAATACCCCTGATTCCGCATCTCCCCTCCCCCTTGGAAGCTGGCTAACTTCCTCCGGGGAAGTAAAAAAGGTGGCAGCTCCGAGGGGGGCCTAAACTCTCCGCCCCAACAGCCTGGGAGCCGGAGAGGAAGTGGAGGCCTGGAGGATGGGGTCAGGCTGGGACCTGCGGCCCAAGCCCCGCCCCGCAGGCGCGTACCCTCGGGGACAGAACCGGTGATTCAGGGGGGAGCGTGCGGCCCGCCGTCCTAAAGTTAGCAACGCACGCCCAGCAGCCGGAGCTCAGGCCGGGCTAGCCGGAGGCGCCGAGGCTCGGGCGGGCGGGGTGGTACCGCGTGACGCACTGGGCGTGGGCACGGGGTGGGAGTTGGGGGGCGGGGGGAGCCCGGCGCTGGGCCCCTGGGGCCACGGGGCCGCCAGGCGCGGGGATCGCGTGCGAGGATGGCCCTGCGCGCTCTCTGCGCCTCCTTCTGCCCGCCCCTCCCGACGTCTCCCCGGGGGGGGAGCCCCAATGTCCAGGAGGGGGACCGCCCCGCCTCGCTGCCAGCCCCCTCCCGCCGCTCGTTCCGCAGAGCCGGGGATGCCTCCCCCACGCCCCGCACCGGTGCCGCCGCGCGTGGCGGGAGCGCGGGGAAGGGCCTCCCGCTCCCGACGTGGGGGACGTGCGGAGAGATGCCGCCCGGGGCGGGGGGGGGGGAGGATGTTGGGGCGCCGCCCGCCGCCTTTCCGGCGCAGGAGGGAGTGGCCGCCGCGCCCTCCCCGCGCCCCCGCCCGGGTCCCGGCGCCGCCGCTTGGGGCGCTGCTGGGGCGCGCGGCAGCCAATGGGCGCCGAGGAGGCGGGGCCGCGGGCGGCGGCGGCAGCGGCGGCGGCCTCCCTCCGGGGGACGGGAGCGCGCGAGCCGCGGCCGCGCCCGGGCCGGGGGGGCGGAGCCGGGGAGCGGGAGGAGGAGGAGCCGCGGAGCAGCAGCCGGAGGACCACTGCTCCCCAGGCTGCGGAGGACGGACTGCCCGCGCCCCCGACCGCCCGCCAGCATGATCGCCGCGCAGCTCCTGGCCTATTACTTCACCGAGCTCAAGGATGACCAAGTCAAAAAGGTGCGCCCGCCCGCCCGCCCGCCGCCCGCGCCCCGCGCCCCGGCCGCCGCCGTGCGTCCCGGTATCCGCTTTCCGCCGCAGCTCCATCCTCCCGCCCGGCCCTCCTCGCGCCCGCGCCGGCGGGGCTGCAGGCGGCGGGGAGATGCTTGGCCCCTTGATTCCCGCAGGGATTGCGTGTGTGTTTGTGTGTGTGTGTTGGGTGGTGGCGGCGTTTGCAGGGGCAGACCCTGTGGCCGGGCAGCTGGCTGCAGTGTCCTTGAAACGGATTGTGGATGTCAGATGGGGCCGCGGGCTGTGCGCGGGGAGGTGGCCTGTTTTGCAAGGGAATGAGCGCCGTGGGCGGAGGAAGGATCACGGAGATGCCGGGGTGGTGAGCACACTCTGCAGGCCGGGTGCTGGCTGCCTGGAGGCCAGACATCCTATATTTCGGGTTCTCGGAGGAGGGAGGGGGCGGAGGGCAGCATCGGGTGCTCCCAGGAGCTGTCACCCCGGCTCTCCCCCAGCTGTGGCCTTGGCTGCTGCTTCATCTGAGGTCCGAGGGACCGGCCTGGCTTCCCGGAACGCGGAGGAAGCCACCGGAAACTTTGCTCATAAATAGGCCCCGGGACTGGATTGGCATGTCTGAATGGAATTTTTTTTTTTAATTCCTCTACGTGACTGCTCTCTTAAAGCTGTAATTTCCAGCCGGTCCAGGGAGCACACATAAGAGGCTGGGCTTTTGAGTTGGATGGACGCTTTGACAAGCGTGCCTGACGTGTGTGCACTTGCACATGGTTGCAACTCCCAGGTGTAGCTGCCTTTGACATAAATACTGTCTGCTGGCAGGTCTCAGCGATGCCTCTTCCTGGGGAGGGAGCTTCTTAGTCTGCTCCCTTCTGCCGGCTTTGCCACCACGCTCTTCAGAAAGAGCCTAGGCCGTAGGGAAAGGCCCGTTTTATTAGTGCCGGGCCTGGCACAGCCTCCCGACCCACCCACGCCCCGAGCGGGTGACATTATGGCCAGGAAAAGCTGGGATGGATTAGCGAAGTCAGCCTCACGTTAAGAGTTCTAACAAGGGGCGTGCTTACCCACAGGTGAGCGGCAGGAGCAGCAGGCCTGCGTTTTCTGCTCTACAAGCCACAGGATGTTGGGTTTCTTTCTATCCACCCAAGACAGCCCCTTCCTCTGGCACAATAGGAAACAGGCCTGAGGAGGGTGACCTCATCAAGGTCACCGCGAGTTAGAGGCGGAGCCGGGGTGTGACCCAGGCCTCTGCCTCTTTTCGCAGGGAACGTGACCAGCCCATTCTTAGGAATTAGGAATTAGCTGAAGGGGAGGTGCTGAGCCAGAGGTCTTGGGGATGCTCCTTGGGTCCTAGATCCGTGCTGAGTGGGGATCAGCGTGGGGCAGTCAGGACACAATCCGGGTACTCTGCTGCCATCCCTCGTGGCTGTGACGGTGACTCTGAAGGGATACTCGATTCCACAGGGGGAATTTAAGGCCTGGGAGAGTTCACTGCTCCCTCCCTGCACGTGGTACCCTCTGTAGCTCAAGACAGCAGGCAGACCCGCCCAGGTGGGGACTCACGACCTTGTAAGCCAACAGCGTCCACGCCCACCACCACCAGTGGTGGCCTCCAGGGCTGAGGTGGGTTGAGTTAGGACTGCACTCAGGGGGACCTGTTTTATCAGGCACACAGCATCAAGTGTGGCCCTGCTTCCCCCCCAGGCTCCGGTAGACATCTGAGTATGAGACTCCCGAATCAGCCGTCCTCAAATCCCTCCTTCTCTGAGGTTGGGATTCGGACATCCCCCTCCCTGCCCTCCTCTGGCCCCAGAACCCTGCTGGAGGACGGTCTTGAGGTCAAGGGGAGTCTTCAGAACAAATGGCCTCTTGCACCATGGTTTCGTATGCTGCTTCCTAGGGTGGGAGCGTGGATTCCTGCCAGGGGATCGGTCATCGTGGGCTGAGTGGCAGGGCCGTCGTGGGTGTGGTCCCGGGAAGCTGCCTCCTGAGCACACTTGTTCTGATGGCCTCGTCCGCTCATTAGAGGCCAGCCCTTCCCACCCGCACCGGCTGCAGGAGAAGCCGGGAGAGGGCCAGGGACTCCACGCCTCACCCTGGGCTTTACCTACCACATGACGGGGACTCAACAGTTGTGGGCAGCCATGATGATTCAGCCCTTCTGCTCCAGGTGGCTGTCCAGGCTCCACAGAGAGCACTGGCACCAGCTGGGAACCCTTTTCCATCTTCTCGCCCTCTGGCCGAGTGTAGGTGGAGCGGGGTGGGGGTGGGGTGGGGTGAGGTGGTGATGCCAGCGAAGGTTTATTGGGATTGTTCCGGACACAGATGTGATCATGGTGAAAAGGGCATTATGTCTCTCTCTCAGAGACATGTCACTAATTCAACTTCATAAATATGTCCCGGCTTGGAGCAGGCTGAATGTCTGGCTTCCTGGCATGGAGCCCCATTTTCCAGACTGTGTCTGAACATTATTGATTAATAGAGCCCTGTGCAAAGAGCGTCCTGGCATTAGGCAGAACTAAGCAGAAAAACCCAATTTCCTTTCACTCTTCTAGTGCCTTTAGGAGGCACCTGTGTGCTTGTGAAAGATCCCATTCATCAGAACCCCAGACATCTGCTCATCTGCAGCCAGAGACTGGGTCCTTTGACCTTTGAGTAACTTCTAACATGCCTCTCACCTCCCCGGCTTCTCCCACTCGGGGTAGCCATTGGGAACCTGCGGGAAGGTGAAGTATCCAGAATCCTCTGTTGGCTTGGGAAAGGAAGAGTGGCCGGTAAAGTCAGGAACGTGGCCTTTAAAGAAATAGGACTTTCGCCGAAACCGGTTTGGCTCAGTGGATAGAGTGTCGATCTGGGGACTGAAAGGTCCCAGGTTTGATTCCGGTCAGGGACATGTACCTTGGCTGTGGGCACATCCCTAGAAAGGAGTGTGTAAGAGGTAGCTGATCGATGATTCTCTCTCATCGATGTTTCTAACTCTCCATCTATCTTCCTCTCTGTAAAAAATCAATAAAATAAAAAGAAAAAGAAAAAAAGAAATAGGACTTTCTTTTCTCTGGGGTTGTCAGAATGGTGAGCAAAGGCCAGTGGATTTTCTCTGGGAGGGAATCCCCCTGACCCTAAGGAATGCCCATTTACCAGCGTGATTCGTCCCAAAGGCCGGAGCACAGGAGTCTCCAGAGTGCTTGGCCAAGGAAGGTGGGGGAGAGTGTGCTTAGCAGTTAAAGGGCTATTTCCTCAGAAGCCCATGTGTCCCAGCTGCAAAAGCAAACAGTAAAAAAATGCCCCGTGCCCTCACCGGCTTGGCTCAGTGGATAGAGCATCGGCCTGGGGACTGAAGGGTCCTAGGTTTGATTCCGGTCAAGGGCATGTTCCTTGGTTGTGGGGACATCACCAGTGGGGGTGTGTGCAGGAGGCAGCTGATCGATGCTTCTCTCTCATCGATGTTTCTAACTCTCTATCCCTCCCTTTTCCTCTCTGTAAAAAAAAAAAAACAACACAAAAAAACAATAAAAATACATTTTAAAAAATGTCCCGGATTGTTCAGGAGTGAGAGGGATGAGTGTTAGAAAATGATGAAAAACGTCTCATGCACCTTCTGGTTTGGCGTTATACAAATACCCGGGAAGGACCGCTCACTCCTCGGTGAACGTTCTCCGCACAGTCCCCAGCCTCTGTACCTTGGGTGTGCCCAGGAGTTCGCCAAGAGAAGAAGCCCCGACACTTCATTCGGTTTGGCAGTCTGGGCCTGTCGTGAGAGAATGAACTTGGAAAGTGGGTAGAGAGGAGGGACTTCACATCTGGCCAAGCTGTGCCGTCCTCCCACTCTCCTGCTGTTCGCTGGCGGAGGCCTGGGCAGCTTTCTCCTAAAAGGACCGGTTTGGCACGACTAGTCCCGACTCCCGGTGTGTCTGCCTGCCATCAGGGATTCCTGCCTGACGGAATGCGTCCCTGGAGTGGGCTCTGCATGCCTGAGTAGGCCCCGGAGAGGCTGGCTGAGGAGGCAGCCATGCACCTCTGTGTCCAAAAGCAGTCGTGGCGGGCTGCTGGCACCTGCTCATTGATTGACGACCTTTACAATTAATCTGATCGTGGGAATTCAGTGGTTTCTTCAGAAAATGTGTAAGTCCTTTATCATGTGCCGAGAACTGTGCTAGGCTGGGGACAACTATGAACCTGGTCGAAATGGTCGCTATTCTCATGGAGTATCAACAATTATTTGCTGCCCTAACTGGTTTGGCCCAGTGGAGCGTCGGCCTGCAAACTCAAGGGTCCCAGGTTCGATTCCTGTCAAGGGCACGTTCCTGGGTTGCGGGCACATCCCCAATAGGGGGTGTGCAGGAGGCAGCTGATCGGTTTCTTTCTCATCGATGTTTCTAACTATCCCTCTCGAATGCCAGGAGAGCAAATAGGAGCCAGTGGCCAGATCTTGGGTGGGAAATTACCACCAGCTTAGGAATTGCTTAAAGCCAGGCTGTAGGTGTACAAAAGAAAATATTATACTTAGACACTTTGTAAAGGAGCATCAAATGGTTAGTTACCAAATTGTAGTTTTTCTTTCTCTCTTTTTAATGGTTTGAGCGTCCCGAAACACTCCACGGGTGTCTTATCAGATATCACGTAAGTGTGCATGCATGCATGCGTGTTTATATGTCAGGGCCTGAGGCATTGACCGGTGTGTGGCAGGGCAGCCCCCTCCCCCTCCCAGCTCCTCAGGGCACCTTGTTAGCTCCCTGGTGTGCAGCAGGCAGCAGGCAGAGATTTTATCCCCAATTTACAAACAGGGACTGGAGTTCCAGATGAGATACGACTTTCTCAAGGCCTTAAGAGAATCCAGGATGGGATTCAGAGGGCTGTTCTTGCTCCCTCTGCTTCCTTCCTCCAGAAAAACCCACCTTTGCTGATTTTAATGACTTCCTTTGGAATGTGTATTAATGTGTGTGAGTTAACTTTATTTTATGGAACAGCTGAGGTGCGTAAAAAAATACTGAAGTTGG